CCCTCAAATTTCAAATTTCTAACTCATAACTTATACAGTGTGTCAATAAACGGATAAAGTCATCTAAAATTCATGTCATATTATTTTTTTGGGGAAAAAAATAGGTCACGTTGATCCTTACTTTTAGGGGCGTTGTTTTTAAACTGATTTGTATCTAGACAAGGTGACCCAAAAAAGAGATATCACTTGAAATTTTTAAATAAAATGCCCTGTATATTTTGATGAATATCGATAGAGCGAAAATTCATATCGATGCTCTTTTCCAAAAAAAAAAAAAAATGCCTAAATTTTAAATGAATTTATCCGTTAATTTATGGACACACTGTATATTAGAAGTTATAAGTTGTGCCCTATTGCCCCTATCACCCTGTAAATAAAGGATCCCTCACTTTTTTTATGCAAAATGGCTATCGGCAAAATGGCTTTTTTTTTGAAATTCAGTATGTTGTAGTCCTTGACGTTCTAAACAAATGTGGGCCCAATTCGATCCTATGTCCAGTTTCTAAGATATCGGTGCTCAAGGGGAAATTTTAATAATTTTCCTATAATTTTAACAATAGCCTGTTATAAATGAAAACGCTACTTTTTTGACAAAATTATCTAACGATAATTTTGCTTAAAGTGCGGTCTTTTAAATTTGGAATTCATTTTTTATACTCGGTGAACCGAAATATTCACGAAGAGGTTGATTTTATTACAATTCAAAAGTATGCAAAATTATCGCACCTCATTTTGGACCGCTGTTCTGTATCTTGAGAACAAGCGGCCGGACTTTCACAAAACTCTGATATTTTTTATACAGGGTGTTCCTAAATATCATGATTATCATGTACAGGGTCTTTCTTAATATATTGACCCCCTCCCCACTAGAGGGGTTGTATGAAGAGATATCAAAAAATTGTAAATAGAAAAGTTTTGGGATTTTACCCGAAATTTTTGAATTCTATTTCAAAAACTTTTTTTTTTTTTTAGAAATGTCAACTTTTGACAGATGGTCGGTTTTTTGTTATGGAACACCCTATACAGGGTGTCCCACCGGGAACCAAATCGATCTATATAAGGTGTTAATGAATAGTGGGATCAAACTTCTAGGATAAGTAGTACTTATTAAAATAAGAAAAAAGTTAATGGAAACATAGGTCCGCAAATGCTTGGGTTTCCAGATACAGGGTGTCAAAACTTGGAAAAATCAATTTGTTAAAATCGGTTTCCCAAATTTCTTTAAACTTGGCACATTTGTTTGTAATAGCAAAAGGTATCTTTTGACTTCATTAGATTTACCGTAATTATTCCAGTGGCGCCCCAGAGGGCAACAACGTTCGTAAAAGTAGAAAAAAAAAATTTCACATCACTATTTTTTCATAACTTTTTTTTTTTCAAATGAAAAAGTCATATTACAGTCAAAAGATACCTTTTGTTATTACAAACAAACCTGCTATATTTGAAAAGGGATTTTTGAACTAGAAATTATGTACTAAATCGATTTGATGTTACAATAAACAAAATTTCAAAGGAACCAAAAAGTCAAACAATGTCAAAAAAAATTATAAAATTTTTGAAATATTCACAAATTAGATTAATATGGATTAAAATAGGAATATTTCAAAAATTTTATGAGGGCATAAATTAGTATATTATCTAGCAAAAATGTATGCAGACAAAATAGATAAAATGTTTGATTAATTAACAAAAGTGACACTTCTTCTGAACTCCACTTTCCCGCACTAGTGCGGGAAAGTGACATTTTCAGAACTAAGATGCGTGCGGGAAAGTGATAAAAAATGCACGCTCGTAGAAAAACCGTATATCGTTGAAATCAGGTTGAATGGAACTAACTAATAAGCGCACAATATATAGAGTATTTCATTTAAAAAAATAAAAACTTCACACTGCTGAACTTACTTCTTTGACGTACCCTGTATGCCTAAAACTGCCTTAGTTAAAAACTTTTGACAATTTCTTAAAACTTTTGTATTTGACACTTCTCAACTTGCTTATTTTAAATGAGACACCCTGTATGTGACTGGGTATTTGGTTTCTATGTAAAATTCTGAGCAGGTTTCATGTGATATACCCTATACGACTGTTTTGGAAATATGTTATGACTTTTTGCAACTTTGACAGGCTGTAAAACCTAAACGGTTAATTTTAGCGGAAAACCGATCTTACATTTTTATCTTAGATTTTCATAAACTATCATTTTTAACACCATTTGTAAATTTAACCGGAGATTAAATTTAACCTTCGATTTAACCAGATAATTTTGATGCCATTATGAAACACGCTATAATACGTCGTATAACTGGAGTTATTCCAAAATGATTCGAATTCTTCGCCCTAGAAATCAACAAATAAAGGACAATTTTTGTTTTTTTAATGATTCACATGCACATGAATCATGAATAATGTCAAATGATTCACTGATTGCTGAAAGGTATTATATTATATACTTAGATAGATTTTGTGGATCTGAATACATACGATCTTCTGAAATGATTTGTGGTATAAATCATTTCAACGATTCGTGGCAAGTTTGATGATATTTTGCGTTTCCAAGATCAACATGGAATATACAGGATGGCCCATCTAAAACAGTCCCCTTTGAAAGTAAAAATTTAAAAAAACCCGCGGACACGTAATTTTCTATTTTCGGGGTTTCACTATTAATTTCATCCCTCTAATCTCAACCCCCTAGCGGGGGCGGCTACTGCCCTGATTTTTTTCATATGGGGAGGGGTATGTTGTGGTGATACATCTTTCTAAAGGGCATTAAATTCTCTATTGGAATGCAACTTCTTTTTTTGAATTTGAGCTATCCGCCCGTCGAGAAATTGCGTTTTAAAAAATGTGATTTTATTGAGTAAGTACCTTAGGTGAGTACCTAGTACTTTACCCTTCACCTTTTATCTTATTAAGGGCCGGTTTATTCACCTTCTGATAAACTGTGTGCAATGTGACAAATAAAAATGCAATCTGTAATCCCATTGGTCAGCCAGTTATCCGCCAACCAATAGAATTATAAAACGGTAAATTAATCTTTGAGATAGTTACTAGCAAGTTTATCTGATGATGAATAAACCGGGCCTAAACGTTAAAAATTTCCGCCATTCACCTCCATACAATAGGACAACAACTGTTCTCCGACATTGTGAAGAACATCTGTTGTAATTTGATGGCATTCATTAGTAATGCGGTTCCGTAAATCTAAGATCTTCTAATCTAAAATATGTGAACCTGTCAATATTTTGACTGATAAACACCCAGTATCTCGTATACTCTCCACATAAAAAGTCGCAAAAAAGTTCATATTTCAACGCTCATATCTCAAAGGCCGTAATACCTAAACTCTGTTTTTTTTTTAAAGATAATTCCCCAAGTCAAAGTTTAGTAACTATGTTGGCAACACAAGCCTTTCCTACATAAAAAATTTGAAAGCATCGACAATTTTACATTGTATTGCCAACATAATGTCATTTTGACTTTTATCTTTTTAAAAAAAACACACTTTACAAGATTTCGTTCCATTTAAAGGTTGTTCAGAATTAAATCCTCTACAACATATCAAAAAATGGGCAAAATCCATATAGCCCAAAAATCCCATGTTAGGTGTGCGTTATCCTTTAGTACTAGAATGTATGGAATTGTAAACCCTCTAAAATGATGTATCACTTGACCCCCCTTCTCATTTAAGATTTTCTAGGGGGTGGCTCTTGGGGCTAAGGGGTCTGAGGGGTTGAAAGGGGAGAGATGATTTTGCATAAAAACTCATCCCTCTTACGTGTTTCACGAATTTTTTCGAACATTTCTCAACTCCGAGATAACAGGGTCCTTATTCTTGAAACAGGGGAGCAGCGTTCCCAGGAGAACGAGTGTTCCGTCTTTGTTACTTATATTATCATTTGCATATCATTGAGAAAGATGGAATACTCGTTCCTCTGGGAACGCTGCTCCCCTGTTTCAAGAATAAGGACCCAGGGGTGATAAGTTTTAATTGGGTAAAATGCAGATTTCTAGAAAACAAATGAAGTTTTGAAGTTAGACAAAATAATGTCAGATTTGAATACTATACATGAAAATTAAGTTTAGAAACTGTAAAACTAAAAATAAAAATCTACTTCAAGTTATTCAATTACCCAATTTTGTAATGAATTTATCCCAACCTTTTTAAGCTCACTGATGTGCTCACAGTGTGGTTATTTAAGTGTGCAACATATAAGGATTTTTTTTAGTAATAGCACAACCCAAATATAAACAAGGCCAAAAGTTGGTGTATGTCTGATAATCATATTAGGTGCATTTCGAATGGTTGCAAGTCAAACAGCATACAGGGTAACTCAAACAATACCAAAATTGTACTGTAAAGTCCCCTTATTTTAGAAAATTCAGCAAAATGGGAGAATTTCAGAGAGAGTTTTTAATATGCATATTATCATGGGTTATGTTTTAACTTATTGAAAAAAAAATTGCGACATTTTAAAGTTGTGTTGAATATCATTGCAACAAAATGAACTTTGTAATTCCGTAAAAAATCAAAAATTTACAAATACATATGCAACAACAACTTTTCTCAATAACATTTTGCTGAATTTTCTTAAATGAGGGTACTTTACAATATAATTTTGATATTTTTTGCATACCCTGTATGCTGTTTGACTTGCAACCATTCTAAATGCACCTAATCTGATTTCAGACATGCACCAACTTTTGACCTTGTTTGTATTTTGGTTGTGCTATTACTAAAAAAAATCCCATATGTTGCACACTTAAATAACCACACTGTATAATAGGGCTATATCCTTATCTGTAATTGAATAAACAAACAAAGAAAGTGCAATCTTATCTGAAATAGGAGCATTTTACAAATCCAAACATTGATTTTATTTATCAAGGCGAGTGAAATTTAGCCTAAGATTAGCGTGAAAGGACGATAAAATTTGCATTCTACTATTATTTAATATTATTGTTCATTATCATCAATTTAATTATAATTTTTTTTATAGGAGATGAGCAGATCCAGAGTATGAGTGTTGGCGAGATAGACCCGGCTATTCTTTATGTTCGCGAGAGAGTCAAGATCCAGTATTCGAAGGAGCAACTTTTGGAGATTGCGAAGAACCCTGTGTCGAAGGCCAAGCCTGACTTTCTAGATCCCAATGAAGTGTAAGTCAAAATCTCTTCCTATTTCTTTCAAAACCAACGTAAATATTTATATCAGGTCCAGTTCGATTTTGGATCCTGAAAAGTGGAATCTGGAAAGGAAGAAGTCTGATACGCCCGAAGTTGCACTGAAGGCTATTGAGAATGGCGACACCAGGGTAACTATATGAAATAATAAGCTCTTTTTGCAAATTTCTTTTTTAAATTTATTCCAGAGACGACCCAATGATCCACGCGAAAGAATTCGCAAGGAGAACGATGGGATCGTGCTTAGCCCTCAGCGCAGGAGCTTCAACACTGGTTGTTTCGTTCCCGCTAACAAGGAACCTGTGGGAGGAAAAAACGATCCACCTCCCCACATGATGGGTAAGAACACATACAGACCTACCATTTAACACTACCTTAAATTCATTTATATTACAACTGTGAGGTCACAATAATGGCAAAGTGTTAGTTAGTATAATAGCGAATTCCAATGAAAATAGTACATATGACATTTTTACAGTGTATACTAAATATTGACAATGATGAAGCTGATCATGTATAGAAAAAACTAATAAAAATATACCAATTTAGGTATTCAATTAAATCCTAATAAGAGTGGTTTGTGAAGTCCCAATGCACACAATGAACTTTTGTTGCATTGGGATCAGTTTTTAATTTTTCTCCTTCTCTGTAATACATATTTTAGATCACTCACATTGTGTTAATGTAAAAGTCTAGACTTTGAGTTTTTTTTATTTCCAGTTGAGATTTTTTCTCTGCTTCTGCTTCCTGATAGCCACTGAACATCTTATCAAGTTGAATTTTTTGAGGCGTTCCCGAATTATTTCTTTCATTTCTTTTGGTTATTAATTTTCTTCATCTGATTTTGCCTAGAGGGTAAGCTTCACATTTTTTGCTGCAGTATACCTATACAATTCTTTTTTTTCCATGCAACTTTTATGATGGATTGTTCTACATAGCCTATACAATAATATCAAGTTAGTTTCTCACTATCACTGCAGCATTCTTCCTTACTGTACTCTGCAATACTATTTTCACTGGGCTTTCTCCTATTACCATTATTTTGCTTATCAGTTTTAAATACAAATAGATCAAATGAGTTTATTAGACATAGATTTTTAAAATGATATTTATTAAATAGCCTAATATATTTTTATTGTGATTATCAGCATAAATTTTGCTTAGTTCCAGGTGTACGGGAAATTCCTTCTTCAACTAGACGAATTGGCAGCGGAAGAATCATGCGTGACTCTTGGGACAGTGAGAAGGATTCTGGAGAACCTGAATTCGGCTTTGGAAGGGGCGCGCAGTCAAGGAACAACGACCGCGAAGATAAATTTGGCGAACGAAACCCAAGAGAAGAGAATAAATTTGAGAGACGATCTTTCGGCAGGGACATGGATAATGGAAAAGACAAGGAAGTGGGTAACAGGCGAAATTCGAGATATAGCGAGACCAGGCGCAGGTATTCTGAGAATACCAGAGAGGATGAACCAGAATGGTTTTCGTCTGGTCCCATCTCACAAAACGATACCATCGAACTGCGTGGATTTGATGAACCGGAAAAGCCGTCGAATCGCAAGAAGAGGGTGAGTGCGTCGCAAATGAAGAGGTCAATTGAACGTGCCAAAGATTGGAACAAGAAGAAAGAGGTCATAGTAGAGGGTGCGGAGAGGGACGACGATGAGCCAAGTCCATCTAGCTACCATGAATCTGGAGGTGATAATGATGAACATCATGACGAGCCAAAAGATCACAGTGCTGGCCAACAACATGCTTCAAAAGCTTCTCAGAATACGTTTGATTTTGATGAGTTTTTGAAAGGAGAAAACATTCCAGGTTTATTAGCAGTAAGTTGCTTTGATTTTGGATAAAAATAAGTTGTTTTTCTGTTTATCGAAATATTATTTTTTTTTGGGTTAAAAGTCTAATATTAATTTCTCTTCAGAATGGTGTGGGAGAGGAGGCAGAAACATCGACTTCCAGATTCAGTCGTTGGTTCAGAAAGGACAGTCCTAGTAATGATACGGAAGCTGGTCGTTGTTCTTCAATGAAAGAAGACAACCATATTATGAAAGTAAGTGTCTTTTAATTTACATATTTTCTTCTGGAATTTCCTATATGACTTCGAAAAAAAAAAAACTGCATTCAAATCAAAATTAGGGCCCTATACAAAAAATAAGAGCCTTAAGTGTATCTAGCAATTTCAAAAATGTTGCAGAAATGAAAAGCATTTCTCCTACTTTTCAATGATGCGAACTCGAGCAATTTCATCAAATTATTGTAATTTATCTTCTCATGTGGAATATTCAGCCTTAGATTCTAAAACTTTTTTTTTTAATAATCATTTATTTCTGATCTCAAATCAGGATACAAAGAATACTGGCACCGAGGCCTAGGATATTATCTTTTACAGATAAAATAACAATAAAACTTGGAAAGCAACTCTACAGTATATTTTTTTCAGACTCGCAGTTGCTAAGGATTGTATGTATATTTTTTTATTTATTTAAATAACTTTAAAAATAAAGAAATTATGACAGTTTAAAATGATATCAAGATAAAATGACTACACTGTATGTACAACCACTATGGTGCATAAAAGCTTATAATTGTATCTTTTCTTCTAGGACCTGCTGAAAGACCTCAACGAATCCAGTTCCATTCCAGTATCGGTCAATCCTTCAATGGATCCTAACACCTATTTTGCGCCTATCTCTCCTGCCGGTAATACTATCGACGACAAAGCTCGTTCCGTTATGAATATGAGTCAATCCGTTAACATCATGGAAATGCTCGCCAGAAGTAAGCAGCCACCGCACCAACAAAAACCGGAAGGGTGGAATATGAAGCAGCAATTACCACGTAAGAATTTCGGGGCATTGAGGACAAATTGATATTAATTGAAGTTAATTTTTTAAAGCAATAGGTGGCAAGATCCTAAGTTTGGACGAACTAGAGGCCAATATTCGGCAAAATTCCGATCATACATCAAACATGCATCAGAAATCTGCTCCGGCAAAACCTGATAAAAAATCCACTGCTGCTTTTCAAAAACTACTTCAGCAGGCTGGTGGTCATACAGCGTCCCAGAACGGACCTATGAAACAGCCCGCTATGAGTCTTTTGGAGGTAAATCAAGATTGATAAAATTGCATGTTTTTTGATTATAATATCTTTTTTTTTCATAGATGTTAAGTCACTCACAGCAGCAGGATGAAGCTCGCTTCGCCGCGGCCCAAGCGCAGCATCAAATGCTTAGTTCCGGCCTTCACTCGCAGCAACAACCTCAGCAGTCGCAAATCAATGATCTCACTATGAAGCTGCAACAGGCGCAACTGCAACAGAAACAGATGGACATGCTTGGTAAGTTGTTCCTCTATTTTTTCCCTTCAAATTTTGAAAGAACCCCGCACTAATCTTATGGAAAATGGCTTTCGGTGAAATTGTCTGAAATTTGGATATGTTGTGCTCCTGGACATTCTAAACAAAAATTATCATTGGCACAAAAAAATCCAACGAGCCATTTTCGAGTTATGTTAAGTTTGAAAGATATCAGATGCAACACACTTCAATTTCTTGTCACAAATGTAGAAATGTAGAAATGACAAATCAAATCAAATCAAAATGTACTTTTTCTATAAACGTCACAAAAAGTGTAATTTTTAACGGATGCTGTCAGTGTCTATTTATTTATTTATTTATTTATACTCCTACATACACCTTTAACAGGTACTTACAATACAAGAGTGCTTACTGATACCCTAACATCTACTATGGCTAAATTACAAAGAAACACAAAAAGTTAGACTTATACTAAGTTACACATCAAATATAAAATATAAAAAATATAAAATAACAATGACAGAGATTTATAAAAAAAAACTAGTAAAACTTTGGTATTAAAAAAAAGATCTTATGGCAAAGGTATTTGTATCAAATAAATCAATATCACATTCCCTCACCAATCTGTTACATTCGCGAAGCATATTGTTTAGAGGTGAACAGCTCAATACATTATCCTGAAATATCTTTTGTTCAATATTTCTAAGCATAATTTTAGGAACATGGAATGCAATTCTATTAATTAAATAACTGTGCCTGTACTTGACACTATTTAAAATATGACATACAAAGATAACACACTGCATACTTCTCCTGGTACCCAATTTTTGAATATTAAATTCACTTAGCATTGAACTATAAGAGATCATATAAGGATATACACTATGTGTCCTAATAAATAAATATCTAAAATGCCATTTTATGACACTGGTGTTAAAAGTAATTACTTTTAGCATTGAGTGCCAAAACTAACCCAAAAGTTTTACAGTACTAAGCTGCTTTATTGATCTGCCACTCAAAAGAATGTATTGACTTTTATCTACAAGCGTTTGGTTATGACGTTTCTACCTAATAATTTTTCTAGTATTTGAGTTATGTCATGAGACTCATAGCACAACTAGTGGTGTTAAAGACTAGGTTATGAATTCATAATACAGCTAGTGGTGTTATGGACTAGGTTATGAATCTATAACACAACTATTTTTGGTGATTTGACAAATGTCAAAGTTGAAGTTAAAATGAAGGTAGACAACTACTAATAAACGAAAAAAAATTGAAAAAACATTCCTATTTTTCGCTTTGAAGATAAAACGTTGTACAGGATTTCCTTATATTTTGACCCCTACCTACAGCTTTAGCTATACGAGGAAGAAAAAAACTTTAAATATGAAAGTTGTAGGGTTTTATGTCGATTATCTTTTGTGAATGTCAAAATGGGCAAATGACAGGTGCCAACTGTCACAATGACAAACACTTGCATTTTTCAAATAGAACACCCTGTATATTTTTGGCTAGAATGATAGATTTTATTCTTCTGATTCCAAATATGCCATATATGTTGATATTTGGTTCAGCTGTTTTTACGCTATTCAAGTTTAAAAATGCATTTGCATTACCCTTAATTTAATCCGTCCTGGTTTCTTATATCAATAATGAGGCTTGCTCAATGCAATTTTAAAATTAAAAAGCACAATAACAACTGAACCAAATATCAACATATTATGGTATAAGGTACCTGTCCCAAATAAGGCCATGTTAAGAAGTTTTATTTTTTTTGAACACTATCGAGCAAACCCGACAAAAATCACGAGCTTATATGTGAAGTGTTTCGCTTCTATTACTTGAATATTAACCCCAATTTATTTATTTTTACATATAAGTGGTGGTTTTTACGTAAAACAAAGACTCTTACCATTGGCCTTATTTAGATCACTATGCTCCCAATAAGGCCATCAATAAAAAATGTTTAAAATAAATAGAATCATTTATAAAAATATTATTTTTTGACAAAAAGTACTCAAAATAGAACTTTAACGTTTGCTGCATTCTAAAGATGCAATAATTTTAAGTCCTGGGATGGTGATCCAAATAGGTCTACATACAACTAGGACAAAGAACCGTAGATTTTTTTGCTTGGTTAGACTCCAGGTGCTTTAAAACACATCATTTAAGTAATAATATGACACATTCTCTTAAAAAAATACTGTGATGTGAGGCCAATTGGAAATTTTTCATGTGGCCTTATTAGGAACATGTTACATTGATAAAAAAAAAAGTCTGTAACTAGAAATCTAGCGAAGATATTATTCTGTACTTTCTCTGTAGCTTTCTCAATACATAAATGTCTGTGTAAAACTTACATTCGCTCCATTCCCTTTGAGAAAATGTGTATAAACTAATTAGGTTCCAGCCTCAAAGTTATATAGTACGGGAGCTGGCGACACTAAATATTGTGTGATTTCATAACGATTAGTTTTACTTTTTTTGGATCATCTCGGAGACATAGAAAACTAAAATCGATTCCTGCAGGGGTACCAGCGGGACACTGATTGACCGCGATATGTTAATTACGTCAAAAAAAAAAGTTTAATTGTTGAAAATAATAAAAGTTGAAACTTTATCAATTTTTTAATAATATTTAAATAAAACATAAAACGACCTCCTGCCACTTTTTTGGTAGACCTATACACTCCTGCCAATATTATTTATGTAAAAAAAAATTGTCAATTGATATAAATTATAAAAGTTAATTTTTTTTTTTTTAGCATTTCACTAATAATTAGGATTACTAAAAAATATATTTTGCCAGTCATTTGATGGGACCTGGCTTCGGCAGGAACAAAATTGTTGAGCGGAAACACATTATACAGCGTGTCCAAAATAAGGATGGCATAGCATTAGGATCTAGGGAACGGTTGGAGTTACAATGTTGGTTAGATTAGAAAAAAGTTGCGCAATTTGATGCTCAATAAAATGGTATTTTGATATTTGAAAAACTCCTAAGACTTTCAAAAATATCCGGAAAAAACCGAAATTTTGCAAATTCGATTTTATTTTTTCCTGAGCTTATTTGAGGAGACATTTCAAAATAAATTTCACTTCATCGTAAGAAGCTGTGGTAACAACTTTGTCTACTCTACAAGATGACATTTTCAAATTTAAATTCTGACATTTCGTCTTTGGGTCACCATCATCAACTTCATTTTTTTTTTAAATACGGCCCTTGATTTTTTATTTCAGATTTTAAGAGCTTCTGATATCCCAAAACCTATGACGTAAAAAATCGAATACGTGCAATACGTCATTGGTTTTGGGACATCAGAAGCTTATATAAAATCTGAAATAAAAAATAAGGGTCCGTATTTAATAGTTAAAGCGAGTGCGACAAAATTTCACATTCGTGAAAAAAGGTTCACTTTACACACTTGTTGCATAAATAACTATTACATAGTAATAATAATGTAAACAAGAATTAAAAATTCTTACTCTGTCCAAGGTTGTTCAGCAATCTAGTGTTTAAAGTCAATATAATTTGGACAGTAAAGCGTTATAATACAGTTTTAGCTATTATCCGTTCACAATCCGATGTCCACAGGTAGGTACAGGTAATATCACCTTTCAATGCTATTTGATAGGGAAACGTGATAAATTTACCTGCACCTGTGGTCATCGGATTGTGAACAGGATATACAAACATACGCAAATAAATTTTCCTACAGCCGTGCGGAAAAATCGATTTTCCGCACTGATATGCGTGCGGAAAATGAGATTTCCCGCACGGTGCGGTAAAACTTTTACCGCACGCATATCAGTGCGGAAAAAGTTTTTCCGCACGGCTGTCAGTGCGGAAAAAATTTTATTTACAATCACACATGTAATGTTGACTTTACTGACTTTTAAAAAGTTCGAAAATCTCACTTTTTTGACTTAAAATTTATTGTATTTTTTGACTTTTACTTTCGGTCCACGGGTCGAAAGTAAATGAAATTGTCAATTATTGTATTTTTTAGTTTTAATTCAAATAAAAATTTCAAAATTCGAATGATTGTAAATAAAATAGTATACATACCTCGGTGAAAAGTTTCATTACTGTCTCGAGATTTTAGTTAGACCTCGGCTGTGCCCTCGGTCTAACTAAAATCTCTCGACAGTAATGAAACACTTTCCACCTCGGTATGTAATATACTATTACCGCACTGATCTGTCAAAAAAAAAGAAAAACTTTACATTTTTACGCCTGTAGGAAAAATATTGTACCTAACACTTGCGGAAAATATTTTTCCGCACTGGGCTGCTTCACTGAACTCCGCTACGCGTCGTTCGGTGAATGGCAGCCGCGTGCGGAAAAATTCATTTTCCGCACTTGTTAGGTAAATAGCTATAGCAGAGTTTGGAAAATTTCTTTTAAGAAAGAATTCTCCAATTTTCAAGATCTGGTGAATATTTTATATTGAGGGCTCCAAATAATATCGCCACCCCACTTATTGTGTTACAGAATTGCCGCTTCTGATATTACTAATCTAGTTTTTGTTATAGGAAAGTTGATGTCAGCAGGAGCTGGTTCCACAGCGTCGCATATGCGAGCTAGTCCTCTTTTGGAAATGGGACCGCAGCAAAGCAGGGAACTGCTGAATCGGCCCGAAGCACAGGCCATTTTGCAAGGTAATTTTTTATTTATTAATAATTTTTATCAATAAACTGTAACAAAGAGTTATTATTGTACGGTCTTCGAAAATTTTCTAGTATATAAAACTGGCCAAATTTGAATAGTGATTGTGAGCCAATAATATTTGTAACAAATAAATAAACAGGGCTTAAACGAGGAGAACTGACAGTCCAGCACCTCTACCAGCAACTGGCCAATCCGGCATTGCAGCCGCGCCATCGCGACATGCTGCTCACTATCCTGAAGTTGCCCGGTAACTCGGCCAGTTACGGGCCGAGTCCGCGGGTTTTGAGTCCAGTACCTCCACATCACTTGTATCCTTCGCAGCAATCCAATCAGATGCAGCAGCAACAGCTGAGAGTGTCTCCGTTGCCGCCCGCCGGTGAGTCGGCTTGCATTCGCTTCAGTTTTTGTTTTGTGCTTGCCGACTGCTGTTTTTGCACTTGCTTTATTTTTGTTTTGCACATTGATTTTGCTTCAGACTTGAGTTTTTATATTTGTAGAGTTATTGTTTCTCGCTTGATATTTGTTGAGAGTGAAAAGAAACTATTTAGTGTTGTTTCTTATTAAATAGTTTTTAGTAAGGGTTTTTGCACAGTCCCTGAATTTAATAATGTATCTGGGGTGTTGGGGTGTTAAGCCATTATAAATTGTGATTATAAGACAGACGCTTATTTGATGGTGTAAAATTTTCTTTGGCTTTCTACAGCCCAGAAAGTGTTTGTGTCCCATTGTCACCATTAAATAAGCCTTGTTGCCTAATCTGTCTGTACAATTTTGTTGAATAAATTAGGGTCATTGTCTTTTCCCCATGTAAAGACACATATTTTCATTAAATGCAATGTTTGTTAGTCTTCATTCGCTTGCAATCAAACCCAAAATATAGAAAACAGTCCAAGCTGTCATATGATAATTGAAAAATTGAAATTTTCTAGACACCTTTATAGGATCAATAGCCAACAAAAATGTCCACTGAATTTATTCTTAAACTCGAAAATTAAATTTGGCTCTAGTGTTAGGGGAAGTTGTAGTAATAATCCAAATATTGCGCGTTAAGTTTTTTCTTTGGCTTTCAATATTGGCGTTTGTCACTACCATTCTCCATTATAATTTTTGTATTAGATTTCACATGGAACATAGAATCATTGCACTGTTGTTCTGCTTCATTTTTATGTTGATACACTCATGTTTTGGTGTTTTATCATTTGGAATTGCATTGTATTATATACCATAGGTATTTGTAATTCGTTTTTATAGATTTGTGTTTCGAATTAGAATTAGATTTTAGTATTTTGCGCCAAATTGGAATATTTTGTTCCATGCAGCCTTTTGCGTATCTCCCATCATGGCTACTAGTCCTAACCATCTAGCAGTCCCTGGTGAGTGAATTTGTAATGTACTTTAACTATGCATTATATCTCTAAATTATTTGAAGAATCTACAAACTAATAAAAAAAATTTAAAGTACAAAATAACAAAATGCGTTTCCGTTCAGCTATGCACCAACGCATCCCGTCGCCTCGCGAACTTCAAGTTCACACGCAGAACATTCTGCAAAGGGCGCTGATCAAGAAGAAGCTTGAGGAGCAGACTGAGAACTTCCGCAAAAAGCAGGAGATGCAACGCGGCGCGAGTCCCAATCCAATTGGAAATCAGCAGAGTGGAGGCAAAAGCGTCATGTCGCCTACACCGCTCGCTTTTACTCCCACATCGGTTTTGAGAAAAATGACTGCAGATAAAGAAGAAGGTAACCATACGAAAACTGTGATCGTTTTCTTGCTGTTCATGTATGTTTTGTATATAATTTTATTGTGTTGGGTTCTCCTAACTTTTGTTATTAATCTATTCATGGGGTTTGTTTAAATGAGCAAAACATTGCTCACATTTATATCTTCAATAATCTATTATAACGAAACTAAGAACTATATCTACTTACATCCTATTTCCTCAACTCTCCTCTTCTCCTAAGTATTACTAACATCTCTATAAGAAATGCATTACCTAATGGATAGTAGGTTCATCAACATTAACCTATAATCAAAACATATACCTTAATTTTATCTTAACTCATTGCTTCGCGTTGTTCGTATAACAGTGTTTGCGTGCGGAAAAGTACCACTTTGTGCACTTGTTAGGAAAGTAACTATTTCAATCACAAGACAACTTTTCTAATAGAATTGCAAATTATTTGTTTTCCTAGATGTTTCTGTATTGGAGTAAAATTCCAAACTATTGCGCTATTGCTTCCTAATTTGCTTTTGGTGCTTTAATTTTTTTCCCAAGCCTTGAAATTATTCAGTGTTAATGTTAGTATCAACTTTCAGTTTGACTTAGCCTAGACGCAAATGCATCGACTCAAAATCCACCATAATAATTTTTTTTGTCATTTGTAGGAAAAGAGAATAAGGCTGTTACCGACAATGGTATTAAACCGCAAGGTCGTGCTCTGACTGGCATGCGCCAGCAACCGCAAGTCACTGTTGGCAACCAACAGTGGAATCAACCATTCCAAATGAAACAAGGTATGTATCTCAAAAGTGGTAACTTTAATTTTAGTTTTTCATTTTATACGAGACAGAGGTCTTTAAAATGTGTGAGCGTTATTTCTTTGTAGGCGTCAATGCCGTCTCGAAGCGAAAGCCCAGTTTTACCTAATTATTTAATGTGTATGCGTTTCCATGTCTAAATTTTCGAATTTGCCGCCATAACAGTGATCACGTGACCAATGTCAAAATGTACTTTTAGGTTATCGGATATGCAGGATCAATCGCCCATAAGAAAAAAATCCATATCCTACAAATAAAAAATTTCCCCATACTATGTAGCGAACATTATGAAGGACACTGTATAAGGTGGTCCCAAAAAAACCGGAATTTTGCTTTTGTGCTCTAACTTTTTTTGTTGTTGACCAATTTCCTTCTGTTTTGACTTGTTTGAAAGAGAAATGAACAAGCTAACGAATCAAAGTGAAATTTTTGACGTTTGAGAAAAATTCAAAATGGCGGACTTCATCATAAATTACCTAAGCCGTTTTCTCGTGTCTCAAATGTTTCAAAACATTTTTCAAAACTGGTTTAAGTAATGTCACCATGACGTCATAATTTTTCGGCGCGAGAAAATGGTTTGAAAACGTGGATTGGATTGTATTTCGAAACGGTTTGAACCAATTTTGACGTGACGTCATGGGTTTATCGCGAGAATGTAGTTTTTCAAAACAGTTTTGAACCAGTTTCAAAAAAGTGGACGCGAGAAAACGCCTCTAGTTTTGGAAAACGGTGGGACTTTATTTGTGACCCCTTGTATAACTTTTTCTAATACATATATTCTTAAAGTTCATCATTTTGCGAATTGAAAACTTTTTTTGAAAAATCCAAACTAACCCATTTATTTAAAAGTACACAGTGATTTACCTTGTCAAATGCCTTCTCGCAATCAGTGTACAGGGTGAGTCATTTTGGGTGGGAATGCCGGGTACAGCCTAAACGGTGATAACTGATAGATACAAAAAATCTGATATTAGTGTCGCGATCTATTTTTTTGAGTATAGTTTAATGGACCACTCAGAATTTTTCGAAATTCATTTGTTTTCGATATACAGGGTTTTTTTGGAAAATAGCTGATTTCTGTTTTCCTCTGTATCTCAGTTGTTATCAAATATTTTTAAAAATGTCAAATTACGTTTTTGTGTGATTTTTTACATAGAATCCAGTGGCGTACTCAGATTTTTTTTAGGGGTATTATTTTTAGAGATATAGTCAAAATTTCAACTTTTTTAAATGGGACTCCCTATATATTTTCACACCGTTAAATTAGGTTTTTCTTTGTGATTCTAATGATATATAACACTTTCTAGTTTCAATAATTTTAACTGTCAAAACCGCGAAAAAACTAAATTTTTAGGGTACCTATAGAAGTTGTTCCTCCGATTTAGCGATCGCGAACACAAACGTAGTACGGCGGTAGCGGGAGCAAGTGCGGTAGCGACACGGGACTAGAATTATCAAAAAATGTGGTGGGATATAATACATTTCATCCTAAAGGTAGGCGCAGACTGACGAGGGCCTGCGGAAGCGGGAGCGGGAACAAAACTTTTGCGGGACGTAAATCAACGGCGAGATATGAAGAAGTGCATACCGGTACGGAGAGAACGCATGCGATTCGCGGGATGTGTGCGAAATAATTTCGGTTCGTAGCGTGCAGCGTTTTCCCGCAGTTCGCATGGTAGTTTGATGATGTTTTTGTATTGTTTGGACGCTACCACGTGTTTCGAGTATGGCAGAAACTATCCCGTTGGTGTGCATGCTATACAGACTCCTCGCTAGCGCATCTAATGTATCGCTCCCGTTCCCGCTCCCGCTACCGCAGTCACACGTCAATCTGCGCCTACCTTTAAACGTTATTTCGCTTACATACCCTGCCACATGTTCTAATCCCGCGACGCTGCCCCTCCCGCAGTACCGCACTGTTGTGTAGGATCCTTCAATTTCAGTTTTAATGACTATTTTTAATAAAACAAATCATATCCAGCCGTGGTTCGTTTAATTTTATTTAAATTAAATTTTTTAACATGTAGGTAAATAAATTGACTATAGGCAAACAGAATAATGGCTAATTGAAAAGTTAACTAAAAGTTTGGACTCGACTAGGATTCGAACTTAGAACCTCTAGGTTCAGTAGTTGCGTCTAACCCAAACTCTTCGTTAACTTTTAAGTAGCTACAATTCTATCTGATATGCCACGATACGGATTCTCTTATAAATATTATACTGACAAAAAATCAACCTTTAAAATTAAATATTAAGATGCTCGATAATTGTAAATAAGTTTTTTACTAGATGGACTTTTATAACACTAGTGTAGTAAGCAAAGAAGTGGATTTCAATAAATCATCAAAACTTCTATTGGAAACAAAAATTTAACGTAAACTAACTAGATATATGGATCAAATAACTCGTGAACCAGTAACTTAAATAAACAAAAATCTTAGAAATACCTCATCGAACATCTATGCAGTTAATAGTGTGAGCGTGAGCGTGAGCTAATTTTTCCAGTGACTTAGTTCACGGAAAGTTTGGACGAGGCTATTCGAACCTAGGACCTCTAGATTACTAGTCTTATACCAACTGAGATACAGATGCCGTCGGTTCATTTTTGCCCAATCGGCCAAGTGTCTTGTCAACTTTTAACGTGTTAGTGCTACAATCTGCAAACTTCGGCGGTTACTGAATCTAGGGGTCCTAGCTTCGAAGCCTAGTTAGCTATTATTCTGTCTGCTAGTTCACGTGAAAATGTTCATTAAAGGATCCTACACACCAGTGCGGTCCGTGGGAGGGGCAGCGTCGTGGGATTAAAAACATGTGGTAGGACATGTAAGCGAAATAACGCTTTAGGATGAAATGTATCAAATCCCACCACATTTTTCAATAATTCTAATCCCGTGTCGCTGTCGCACTTGCTCCCGCTACCGCCGTACCACGTTTGTGTTGGGGATCGCTAAATCCGAGGAACAACTTCTATTAAATACCCTAAAAATATAGTTTTTTCGCGGTTTTGACAGTTAAAATTATTGAAACTATAAAGTGTTACATATCATTAGAATCACAAAAAAAAACCTAATTTAATGGTGTGAAAATATATAGGGTGTCCCATTTAAAAAAGTTGAAATTTTGACTATATCTCGAAAAATAATACCCGTAAAAACAATCTGAGTACGCCACTGGATTTTACGTGAAAAATCACACAAAAACGTAATTTAACATTTTTTAAAATTTTCGATAACAACTGAGATACAGAGGAAAACAGAAATCAGCTATTTTCCAAAAAACCCCTGTATATCGAAAACAAATGAATTTCGAAAAATTCTGAGTGGTCCATTAAACTATACTCAAAAAAATAGATCGCGACACTTCTATCAGATTTTTTGTATTTATCACCCTTTAGGCTGTACCCGGCATTCCCACCCAAAATGACTCACCCTGTACAGGACATCCAACTGCTCCTTTGTCTCGACTGCCTGTGAGATTTGTTCTGAGAGGATGCAAAGATTTGTAACAGTGGATTTATCATGCACAAAACCATGCTAGCTCTTATGTTTTACATGTTCATACATATATTATCATAAAGGATATTTTCAAATATTTTAGATAATAGTTATTTACCTAACAAATGCGGAAAGTGATACTTTACCGCACGCAACGGCAGTTGACCGAACGACGCGAAGCGGAGTTCGGTCAAGCCGTTAAGGGCGGTAAAGGCACTTTCTGCATGTTTTACCTATGAGCATCTACATCTCCAAAAAAAGGCATTGATAAAATTAATTATTTAATCAGATTAATTATTGAAATTAGATAAGATTTAGAAATGATCAAAAATCAATTTTCTGAAAAAGAGAGGATTTTTGATTATAAATATCAAATTCTACTTTACCGCACACTATGCGGTAAAGTGCACTTTACCCCACACTTTGTATTCTACTTTACCGCATACTATGCTGTAAAGTTAACTTTACCGCACACTATGCGGTTAAGTGCACTTTACCGTATAGTGTCCAGTAAAGTGATACTTTCCATTTGCAAATACGTGCGGTAAAGTGCACTTTACCGCACGCTCGTAGGTAAACTATTTTATTTGTCACTCATTTGTAAAACGTCATTTATCAAGTCAAAACATAAACAACGAAAATTGATTTTTACCAGTTACTGGCTCTACTGACTTGTAAAATTGACAGCTAAACTGTAAAAACTTTTATTTGTCACTCATTTGTAAAACGTCATTTAACAAGTCAAAACATAAACAACGAAAATTGATTTTTACCAGTTACTGGCTCTACTGACTTGTAAAATTGACAGCTAAACTTTAAAAACTTTTTACAAGTCAGTAGGGTCAGAGAATTATTTATTAAAATTGTATTACCTATATGTATTAATTTTTTATTAATTGTTTAAGATTGTTTACAAATGAGTAACAAATAAATTATTGTACATCATACGCCAGGTATCAGTTTTTACTGGCTCTTGAAGGTGACAAGCTCGCCTAACGGCTCGCTAGTCATTTCCTTCAATCACCAGTAATAGTATATTACAATCCGAGACGGGAAATGCTTCATTACTGGTCGAGAGGTTTTATAGTTTATCGAGACGCGTAGCGTCGAGATAAACTGAACCTCGAGACAGCAATGAAGTTTCCCGTCGAGGGTTGTATACTATTTTATTTTTAACCATAATTTCTCGAAAAAAAAAAATTCGGGGCAACCAAATGAGGTCGGCAAATGAAGAGGAAAATGAGAACGGGAAATATTTCCCTGCGCCATTTTCCGTCCGTAAACGGGAAATGAGGACGGAAAAAATTTCCCGTCCTCACTTCCCGTCCTGGGACAGGTAATGGAGCAGGAAAATGAAAAGACAGAAATGTGACATTTTCAAATTTTTGAAAAGTCATTAATGACAACATTTCATATATGGTTAAAAATAAAAACTGTTTTACTTGGCTAATAATGTAAAATACTATAACAGATTGATATAGA